CAGCCCTGATCACAGCCCTTCGTCCACACCCTCACTCTATCGACTTCCTTTCGTTAGCCGAATCCCAATACCCTCCTGTCCTGACTCTGCTTCCAGGACGCACCTTTCTTTTTCCCTCCGGCCACTGCCCTGGACACTCTTCTTTCCGTTCCCCTCCTTCCATCCTCCAACAAAAAGTTTGTGCACCTTCAAATCTGTCAGCTAAAATTTGCAGCATGACTACCACGCCGGAAACCTCAGTCTGTCGTAGTGTTAGGAACGTGACTCAGGAGGAGTTTGACGAGTTGCAAGCCAGGGCGGCTACAGTGACGACACTGCAGGCCCATCTTCAACAACTCGCCGATAAGTTCGAGTCGCTGGGAAGCGAAGTATAGACGCTGCGCAACGAAAACTCGTTGCTTCGCCAGACGCGAGGTGAAACACGTCAGGGGCGGCCTGTTACTCGAGACGAAGATGATGCGAGCGAATCGAGGGTGTCGGTAACACCTGAAGCAGTTGAAGAAGTCCACAGCGAGCCTCGGGCGGCCATTAAAATCAAGCCTCCAATGCCCCCACCATTCAACTCGACCGACATGACAACTACAGTGAGCGGGTGGCTGTTCGCCATGGAAATCTTCTTCACAGCTACAAGTATTAATGACAATGCATCATGTGTCAACTTGGCTGTGTCGCTGCTGAGGGGACCGGCACTCGACTGGTGGCGCATGCATCTAGACGAGGGAGGAGCTCCGGCAGGGAATCAACGGGCGGTAGATGGGGAGCTGAGTTCATCAACGGCGAAGGCAGAACCAATCTTTGGATCGGCCACGATCCGCACGTGGAAAGCGTGGGGCGAAGAGTTGAAGGGCAGATTCGAGCACATATCCATGCGCGAAAATGCTCGCACACAGCTTCGGATGTGGAGACAATTGGGCTCTGTCCAAGAATACACGGCATCATTTCTGGCAATCTGCGACCAAATCGGAGGGCTTAGCGTAGACAAAAAAATCGATCGCTATATGGGTGGTCTCAAGCCGGACTTTCAGCGAGAGATCGTCCTACGAGCCCCGACGACATTCAACGAAATCATTCGCATAGCAGACGCGCTAGATGCATGACGTGGACTCGCGAGAGTGGGTTTCTGGGAGGGAAATTGCTTTCGAGGCCAGCCCCAACACACATCAATCAACTGCGTGGATGTGTTTGCAGCCCGAGTATTTTCGGGGACCTGCTTCCACTGCAACCAGCCGGGTCACATGGTGAGGGACTGCCTGCAGCTGAAAAAGAAATTACCTAACGACAAGAAGCAGTCGGGAAATGGAGATCGTCAGTAGCAGATGGGCCACCTACTGACTTGACTGCATCGCCCAAACGCCACCACCCCTACCAGGTTATAGTGCCGATTTGGGCTATCGACCATTCCTGGCTGAATAAGGGGGGTGAACCGGTTGATCACCCTGTGCTGGTTGAAGGGAGAATTGGCGACACCCGCATCAAAATATTCGTTGATGGCGGGGCGAGCCACAGTTTGATGGACGTGATGAAGGCGAAAACATTGCGGCTGCAGCTAGAGCGCTGCATGCCTGAAATTGACGCGAGATTGGTTGACGGCACACCACTGGCAATTCAGGAGCGAGTACCTCACGTGCGAGTAACATGCGGCGAAAATTTCAGTTTCACAACGAAGATGCTGGCGACAACTTTGGACAGCTGCGACATGCCGCTGGGACGCGATTGGCTGCGCGAATACAACCCGAGGTTCTTCCGTTCCCGCAATTGAACGCCGGTTTCAGTCACGCGCTAGCATTAAAACAAAACATCGCTGCTTCTATAAACACGGAATTTCAGGGACCCTCGCACGATTACCCTAGGGGATGTCAAATGGGCGCCAACAGTGCGTGACAACTTCTCTACGACGTGACGACCCGTCACCCCACATTCGACCAATGCAAAGTTGCGTCATCGGCCAAACCAAAACAACTGCGAACATTTGGCCCGCTTTTTAACCGGCCCGCCCAGTCTAAAAAGTCCCGACGGATTCCGAGCTGCATCGAAATTCGCTGCCCTTCTCCAATACCGTCGGTTTGGGTTCTGTCAAGAGTTCATTTCTATGTGCTACTGTGGTCGGTGAACAAAAATGTTTACCTGGAACAACCCGATGCCAATGGGTGATTACCCTAAACATTCGACAACTCCTCCTTTCAGGGCATCCAAGGAGCTCCTTCTCCGAGGCTCTACTCCTTGTCAGCTTTGCGAGTGTTTTTCTGAGGTGCTAGCCGCAAGACACAACGGCTTCCCAGATCGAACAACGGCTTCCTAGATACAACAACGGCTTCCTCAATACCCGTTTCAATGCTCGCGAAGCGCCTGCACGTTACAGCACGTAAACACAGATATTGTTGAACGTGTGCATGATTTTAGAACTAGATGCCTTGATGGATATCAGGCAAGGACATATGGTTCTCGCCCTTCCCTTGCAGGCTCTCTAGACCAGAACCCCAGCTCACTGCCTGGAGCTCCCCCCGCTGCAATCCAGGCCCAGCCCACTCCAACAGGGATCTTTGCAGCTGAGGGAGGCGGCGATTCAGGCGCGGCGGCAGAGAATCTGCCAGAATCTCAGGAGGACATCTCAACTCCTTCCTCTAGTGCTGGCCAAGCACTCCAAACACCGTTGCAAGCTAACCGCATTGTTCAAAGTAAGCTCCCCTCTAGGTTTTACCATCCATGTGGTTGCGTACACATACAATTGCTAACTAACCTCACCACCACTATGCTTGCAGACTTAAGCCGTGTGGAGGAGCGCGATGTCCACCATTGAGAAGCCAACAATTTCAACCCAGTCAACGCAGACATTCGTCTGGCCCTGCGTAAAATCAATGAGCTTCTCACGCACGTGGAGCAACGCTTGACCTCAGCGTTTGCTCATGCAACTGGTGCAACAGCTGTTTGAACAAGTGGTGAAGCCGAGTTGGTGTGACGATTCAAGGATTGGGGTTCGTCTTGAAAATACAGGAACACTCTATGAACTGCATACTCACATGCTTGTGCTTGTGTTTGCACATGCTTTTGCTCGGGGTTGTGCTTAACTAATTCCACATGCTTGTGCTCGTTATTGTGCTTGGCTGGTTCCACATGCTTCTGCTTGTGCGTACGCCCCGTTTGGATGCGCAGGAATCTGTGAGCAATGTCACGGACATGTTCCTTAATGGACCCAAGTTGAAGAAGAGGAAGATCTACCCAACTCCAGAGGATTTTAAGGGAGAGGTTATGGTAGATCTGTGCGTGCAGACTGATGACTTTGAACGCTTTAACAAGGTTTGGAATGATGGCGGCTGGGTGAGGAAGTGTGTTGATCTTTGCAATGGTAGGAGGGGGAAGCTTGCTAGCAACTTTCGTAGCATTGTCTATGCAGTAATGACCACTCCAGACGGCGAGCCTGTGGAGGACACGCCTGAGGATCGCAAGGCTTTTGCCACCAGCCACCTGTCTGGTAAGATACCTAATTTGGTCGCACCATGTTCCTGCCCCATTGATTCGATTTTGCCCAATCTGATGCCACCTTCATTCTTTCCATGTATTGCAGATAGGTATGGGCTGTCTTGGCATGTCGTTGATAACAGACCGTGCAAGCAAGATGGCTTTGTTGAAGCATCTGCTTCATGGTACAAAGAAGAGCCTAAATGTGTTGCACTTACGATCGACCAGATGACCTATATGTTTGTCGCGGTAAGTATGGATTTTCCAGCCATATGTATTTTCCATTTTTCATTTAATACTAACCCAATATCTTTTCTTGTGATTGCAGGTGGAACACAGCATGCTGACTCGCAAAGCAAGTTTGACTCCTGACAGCTCGTCCATTCTTTGGGAGATGGAGAAGAGGAAGTGTCAAATCGAGAATTGGATAAATAAGTGTGGGATTGTCGCCGATGAAGGTTTCTACGACTTTGGTGAGGTGGCCCTGCTGGATTGGCATGCGGATGCATCTGAGTAGTGCAGGAACGGTGTTGGAGGGGTTTGCTGAGTGTTTAGGTTTAGGCTTTGTAGTTGGCATTATTTCCAACCCATCGCAACTTCGTAGTTTGCCACGGTATTCACTAGCGCCTGGGAGAAGATGCCCCATGCGAACCTGCACTCAACCTTCTCGCAGATTCTGTTTGTTGCCAATCGGCAACAGCGGATTGAGTTGCGATTGCTGGATCACCCTACCCTATCTACCTTCCCGCTGTTTCCCTACCAATTCCCCGCAAACACAGCTAACCGTGCGATGAGTGTGATGACGCACCAACCAGTGCTCTAGGCCTTGACGATTCAAAGAATGAACAACCGCCCTCCGTTACTCAGGTGAGATACTCGCCTGCCGATGTGACACGTGCTCTACCTGCTCACCAGCCCCTCGTCTCTCACTGTCGAATCTTGCGTCGACGCGCATGAGTATGCCCTTACACCCTGTGTTCTGGGTCTGACTATCATGTGCTGTTTCCCCTCCTTTCATTGCTTTTCACCATAAGCTTCTTGAGAGTAATTTCTTCGAGAAATCATGGTGCTCGCTCTAAGCCGGTCTTTTTTCTGTCTGCCCCACGCCACCATGATTGTACTGCAGGTTCATACGATCGGTGAGCTGAACGCGCGCAACCAACGTATCGCAGGATCCCTGCATGGCAGTGCCGAAGTCTATCGGCATCTGTTTCGGGCGCCTGTTGTGGCCGGCGTACAACCTTGTGCAGAGATCGCCGAAGGGAAGCCGACGAGCCCTACATGCCACCGGTGGTCTCTCCCCCCCCCCCCTCTGGAAGCCTTCCCCCCAACAACGCCCACCCCTGCTCTGGCTTCCCCTCGCCCCACCTTCTGTGTCCCTTGCTGATTTGATCTCAATAGCCAAGCGTGGCTATCCATTGCTGGGTCTCACACCTGCAATACACCAAGCCAAGCAGTGTTTCTTAGACAAACTAGTAGACGTTTTGTTGGTTAGTTTCGAGATTTGTTTGAGCCTAGAAATGTTTAGCGGTATTGGGGGCTGTACTGTTAGGATTAAGGACGGAGTCTAGGTGAACTTAGGAGCTAGAATTACTCAAAATATAAATCCGAAATTCTGGACAGAAAAGTCGTCTTCACAAGAAACGACGTCGACGACAAACTAGCCGTTGGAATGTCGCGAAACTTGGATATGTTGTAGCTCTTAATCTCAGCTACCGTTCCCAATTTGAATCATGTTGATTGATGAAGTATTCGCGACGCTATGGCTTTCGACGCACTAGGGGGTAAGCTGTAGGAGGAGAACTTAACTCAATCTCAAAAGGTTCAATCAAAGTTCAAGAATCTCACAAGGAATTAGAGGAGCAAGAGAAAGGTTGGGATAGAAGAGAGGGATGAGAAGGAAGGTCCCAAGAGAGTCCCCAACCAAGGAAACCCCATAAGCACAAAGATTCCCTCCCTATAGGAACCCCAACTTTGACATTTGTCCCTCCCCAACCAATCCATCCAAGTTGGCCACCCTTGCCAACCTAGCTTGGTTGTTCCCAACCAATTTGCAGCTGTTACAGTAGAGTGACAAATTTCCCCAACCCCCAAAGGTCCCAACTCCATATAAAGTCACCCCACAACTTCACTTTGTAACCGCCGCAATTGTAACGCAAGCTCATGAACTTTGAATCTTCATAGCTTTCGCGTTCTTGCTCCGATTGAAGGGATTCTCGTTGCGTCGGAAAGATCTTCTCAAGATCTATCATCACAAAAAACCTGCTCAAACAAAATAACACAAAACACATTCCCAAACTCCAGAACACATCACACACAAATTCTTGCACACGTTCAAACCACACATGCAAGTTGAAAACATGGGATGGGAGGCAGACAGAATGTGATAGCATATGATGACATCACACAACAATCTCCCCCTCTGGCTGCCAACCATCATCCACCATACCACATCTCAAGCATGCATACTCAATGCACACTCATCCCAGCAAGCTTCATGCCCTTCCAATGATCCGCCTCCGCCAGACGCTTGGTGAAAATATCTGCTGCCTGCTGATGGGTCTTCACTATCTCCAGCCGCACCTCCTTATCAAGGAGTCTCCTCACCCAGTGCCACTTAGGCCTTATGTGTTTTGTCAGACCATGCAGACAAGCATTCTTGGCCAGCTTCACTGCAGACTCATTGTCACAGAACACAACTGTCGGCTCCTCCTGACCAACTCCCAACTCCTCCAACAGACGCCTCAGCCATACCACTTCCTTGGCCCCATGGTGTAAGGCCATGTACTCAGTCTCACATGAAGACAATCCCACCTCATTTTGCTTCTTGCTGCGCCAGCTCACAGCACCACCTCCCAGCAAGCACACATAACCCCCAATGCTGGTGCCATCCGCTTTCACTGAGTTGAAGCTTGCGTCAGTATAGCAACTCAAGAGCATCTCTCCACTCTTCACATCTGCAGCACCTCTCTGCAACCGCTGCCTCACTCCACTGTACTCCAATCCCACTGATGCCGTAGCACTCACATAGCGGACCAACCTCTTGGCCGCTTCCAGCTGCTCATGACTAGGGCGTGAGACCACACTAGCCAACCGTGATGTAGCAAATGCAATGTCAGGCCGTGTATGATTTGCAGCATAATTCAGCGACCCAACCATCGAATGAAACAGCTTCCTGTCACTCTCACCCACTACCTCCTCATCAGCACATGGCTCCACAGTGAACCCCGAAGGTAGTGGTGTTGCTGGCTTTCCCCCATCTTGCAGCCCATACTTCTCAGCCAGCCCCTCACAGTACTTCCTCTGGTGCAACCTCAGCACACCCTTCTCCACATCTCTCTCCACATGCATCCCCAAGTAGTACTTCACCTCACCCATCTTGGAACACTTGAACTGCATCTCTAGCATCTGCTCTGCGCTGTCCAGCAAAGCAGTTGATGCAGAAAAGAGAAGGATATCATCCACGTACACCAAGAGCATGAGGATTTCATCCTTCTCCTGCAGCAGGAACAGGCTGGGGTCACACTCACTCTTCTTGAAACCCCCAGCCAACAGCGCCTCCTCCAACTTGTGATACCATGCACGAGGCGCCTGCTTAAGGCCATAGATGGCCTTCTTCAGCCTGCAGACCCTGCCGCTCCCATCATCCAGCCCCTCTCGCTGCTTCATGTACACCTCCTCCAGAATGATCCCATTCAGAAAGGCAGTCACAATGTCCATCTGCCGTATCTTCCATCCCAGGAGTGCAGCCATCGCCAATAGCACCCTCAATGTTGTTCCTTTCCCCACAGGAGCAAACACCTCATCATAGTCCTTCCCCTTTGTCTGCTGAAACCCCCGTGCCACAAGCCTTGACTTGTAGCGGGTCAGCTCCCCTTCAGGTCCATACTTGTGCCTGTAGATCATCTTGGAAGTGATTGCCTTCTTCCCAGGAGGCAAGTCACACAGGTCCCATGTCTCGTTCTCAATCAGGGACCCGAACTCCTCATCCTCACTCGCCTTCCACTTCTCCCCATTTGGTCCATTCAAGGCCTCCTCTCGAGTCTTGGGCTCAGGGATTGGTGCCCAGTAGCAGTGAGCGATCTCATCTTCCTCAATCTGCTCAACCACACTCCCAGCCTGCACCACATTCGGCTTGCCTCTTCCCCCATAGGTCAGCCTCACAGGAGGGCGCACATCCCTCCTAGGACGCTCAGGCGGGTGTGGAACTCGAGGTGGAGACTCATGTTGCTGCTGTTGCTGCTCCACTTCAGCTGCTCCCCCTTCCTCAGTCACCCCAGACATCTCCTCCTCAGACACTGCAACCTCCACCTGTCTTGAAGGCCGCTGCACCTCATCTACCTCAACGAGCGGTGTAGATGGAAGCTTCTGTTGCTGCTGCTTCCATTCCTTGTAGTACAGGGACTCAAGAAACTTCACATCCCTTGACACTGTCAGATTCTGGGTGGTCAAGTCCCATAGCAACCATGCTTTGTGATCCTTTGCAATCCCCAAGTGCACACCCCATCTTCCAGAAGCCTCCAACTTCCCCCTTTTCTCCTTGGGCACATGAAACACCACCATGCACCCAAATGCCCTCAGCATGTTCACCGCTGGAGCACTCCCATACCACTTGACATATGGGATCCACTCCTTATCTCCAACTGTAGCCAGCACCCTATTCTTCACAAGGGCGACCTGCCTCAGTGCAGACACCCAAAACGGATCAGGCAGCCCTGCACGCCCAAGGAGAGTGCGTGCCCCCTCCTGCAGGGTCCTGTTGAACCTCTCAGCCACGCCATTCTGCTGTGGGTTGTAGGGCACTGTCAGTTGATGCTGGATCCCCTTCCTCTTCAACTCCCCCTCAAAATCAGCTCCAATGAACTCCCCACCATTGTCACTGCGGATCACCTTCACCTTGTGTCCGCATTCCCTCTGAGCTCTAGGCATCCACTCCTTAAGGACAGCCGCTGCCACCTCCCCCTTGCTCTTCAAAGGGTAAACCCACACTGCCCGAGTGTGGTCATCTACAATTGTCAAGAAATAGCGGCTGCCTGAGAGGGAAGGGGCTCTTGTGGGCCCCACCACATCCATGTGCACAAGTGCAAGTGGGGTCTTGGCTGGTCCTGTAGTGCTGTTGAAGGGGAACTTGGAGAACTTGGTCTCCAAGCATGTAGGGCAGCTCCCAATCTCCTTCAATCCCCCCTTTACCTCCAATCCTTTCAGGCTCCCATCCTTCACCAACTTCTGCAGCATAGGGAAGTTCACATGACACAGCCTCTCATGCCATGTCTCCCAATCGGCCTCTCCACTCCTTGATGAAGCCTTAGCCCATGCCGCACTTGCATCCACACCAGCAAGCACCTCACCATGTGTCTGCTGCTTCTGCACTTTCTTGACTGCTTCCAGGACCCCATCTGTTGGTGCAGTTGCATCTCCTCCTGCTGTTGCCTTTGCCGCTGCTGCCGTTGCTGCTCTTGGAGTCTTCCCATTCCAAGGGATGATGGGCAGCTGCCACAGGTCCTTGATGCAGCTGGTCTCCTCTTCCAGACTCCACAGCACCTTCTTCCCAAGCTTAGCACGGCAGCTGGTTGGTCCAAAGGTCACTTCGGCCTTACTCTTCTGCAGTCGCCGCACAGAGAGAAGGTTAGCAGACAAACCTTTAACCAGCAGAACATTCCCAAGCCCCACAAGCTCCCCATTAGCTCCCTTAACCTTGGCATTCCCAACACCAATTACGGGGAGCAAAGCACCTGACGCTGCTGCCACATACTTAATCTTCCCAGGGGGTTTTACCTCATCAAGCAAATCTGCCCGTGGGGTCATGTGACTGGTGCACCCTGAATCAATCACCCAGTGTGTGAGAGGGTGCATCACAACCTTTCCCACTGATCCCACATCACCCTTATGCCCATGCACATCCTCAACCATGAGATACATCCCAGGATAGGCGTTACCTTGTGCACCTTCAACTTGTGCACCTGAGCCTTGCACAGCGCCACCTTGTGCGCGTTCACCACTTGGCGGCTTCATGCCTGGAGGTGACCATCCCTCCGGCCTGCTGAAGCACTTGAACCAAGGATGCCCGACCTTCTTGCAGTACCAGCAGGTGCCCTCCATTCTGGTACTCCCCCTGCCACTGGAGCTTCCATGCCCCTCATTATAGTCACCTCGGCCTCTACCTGTGCCAAAGCTTCTCCCACGGCCTCGGCCTCTCCAACCCCCTCTTCCTCTGCCGCGCCCTGCAGCTCCATACCCCTCAGCAGTCTTAGTGGCAGCACCGCCTCCCACATGGCGTCTGCGGAAGTCCTCCTGCAGAATCTGCTGCCTTAGCCACTCAGGTGTCCATTGATCTTGCTGAGAGTTGAGGGTGGGGATGAGGTTGTCCCAAGAGTTGTCCAACACCGAGATGATCTTGGTGCACTGCTGCAGCTGAGATACACTGCTGCCCGCTGCTGCCATCCTTGCATAGGTGTCCTTGATCTTGTCAAGGACCGGCTTCACATCGTCCCCTGGTCGCATGGAGATGGCAGCAAGTTCCTTCTCGAGCACGATCACCATCAGGAGAGTGTTGGGCTGAATCACATCGCGTAGTAGTTTCCACGCCCTTGGACCCGAATCATCCGCTTCCACAAGATCCTTGATGTGCTCGAACATCTCCTTGTTGACCGATTGAAGGATGAGATCGAAAAGCACCGCGTTTTTCTCAATCCACCGTTCACGTGCTTCGCCTTCTTCCGGCATCTTCTCTTCCCCAACAGCAATCTTCAGGAGCTTGTAGCGTTTGAAGGCACTCCTCATCCGCCCGCTCCATTCCTCATAGTTGGAGCCATCCAAAGCTTCAACTTTTGATGGCGGCGGCTCACTTGTCTTCTCAGCTACAGCTCCTCTTCCATTAGCATCTCCTCCTCTCTCATTCATCTTCTCCTTGAGAAATGACGAATTTCAGCTCCCCTTTGCTGTCCACACTCAGCTCCCTCGATATTTTCACAAGTGTCGGCGTCCACGAAATTTCGGCAGAGTTTCCCCTTAGCGGAAGACACATCCAACCTTCAGAACACCACTTAGGCACACCCACAGGCCATGGTGGGTCTAGAAGGGTCTTCAAACTTCTGTAGACTCCTCTCAATGTCCTTAATATCGCTCTGATACCACTTGTTAGGATTAAGGACGGAGTCTAGGTGAACTTAGGAGCTAGAATTACTCAAAATATAAATCCGAAATTCTGGACAGAAAAGTCGTCTTCACAAGAAACGACGTCGACGACAAACTAGCCGTTGGAATGTCGCGAAACTTGGATATGTTGTAGCTCTTAATCTCAGCTACCGTTCCCAATTTGAATCATGTTGATTGATGAAGTATTCGCGACGCTATGGCTTTCGACGCACTAGGGGGTAAGCTGTAGGAGGAGAACTTAACTCAATCTCAAAAGGTTCAATCAAAGTTCAAGAATCTCACAAGGAATTAGAGGAGCAAGAGAAAGGTTGGGATAGGAAGAGAGGGATGAGAGGGAAGGTCCCAAGAGAGTCCCCAACCAAGGAAACCCCATAAGCACAAAGATTCCCTCCCTATAGGAACCCCAACTTTGACATTTGTCCCTCCCCAACCAATCCATCCAAGTTGGCCACCCTTGCCAACCTAGCTTGGTTGTTCCCAACCAATTTGCAGCTGTTACAGTAGAGTGACAAATTTCCCCAACCCCCAAAGGTCCCAACTCCATATAAAGTCACCCCACAACTTCACTTTGTAACCGCCGCAATTGTAACGCAAGCTCATGAACTTTGAATCTTCATAGCTTTCGCGTTCTTGCTCCGATTGAAGGGATTCTCGTTGCGTCGGAAAGATCTTCTCAAGATCTATCATCACAAAAAACCTGCTCAAACAAAATAACACAAAACACATTCCCAAACTCCAGAACACATCACACACAAATTCTTGCACACGTTCAAACCACACATGCAAGTTGAAAACATGGGATGGGAGGCAGACAGAATGTGATAGCATATGATGACATCACACAACATGTACATCATGTCAACGCACAAGTGCTAGGCGTATGGTGCTGGGATAATAAATATGCAGGGGTTCACGTCACACATGACCGGCTACAAATATCCAAGGCGGATGCAGGCCATGCGGAACTTGTCCATACCTAGTTGGGCAGCACACAAGAGGGCTCGAACCACCAACATCCCTGAGAATCCTATCGCTGTAGCAACTGCAAACCCCGACCCTGGCCCACCCGAACCTATTCATGGGCCCTCCGAAGAGCCACCTTCACCTGATGATCGTTTGAGTCCTGCACAAATTGACGTGAAGGCAGAGCAGGGTGATATGCAAGATGGCGAGGCGAATGCTGGCAGTGATTCTTATCGTAGAATCGAATGTCGAGAGAAGAGACGCGAGGCGGCGGAGGCGGAGACGCCTGGGAAGGGGCAGGCGGCGAGGACTGCGCCGCAGGGCCACCAGAGTCAGCAGACTCCTCGACCGGGACAACCGACAAGATTGGAGTGATATGAGACACACCAGACGATGTAGGACGGGGAGGGGGAGGGGGGGGGACAGGGGTGACCGGGGAAGGGGTGACCAGGAACAGGGGGGGAGTAACCGGGGGACCTTTGTGGGGAAAGCGGCGGTAGAAGGAGACGGACTCATCAAAGATGACGTCACGGGAGTGAAAGAACCGGTGAGACGGCGGGTGGTAGAAGTGCCAGTCAGACACGTCAAGGGGGAAACCGAGGAAGACACAAGGGAGGGTGCGAGCAGTGAGCTTGTCCGTGCCAGAGGCACGAACGTGAGCAAGGCAGCCCCAGACGTGAAACGCAAATGCATCACCAGGGGACCCGGACCAAAGAAGGGTCGGCGAAACCTGCGGCTGCTGGGGGTGCGGCCACAGGTTAAGCTGGTGAGCGGCGTAGCGAACAGCAAACGGCCACAGAAAATGGGGTGCACCGGCATGGATCATGGAGGTACGGGCCACCTCCATGACCAAGCCGATGCGTCGCTCGGCGACCCCATTCTGCTGCGGGGAGTCCGGCAGGGTGAACGTCTGGGTGATGCCCTCCACACGACAGAATCGACCAAGGACACCAGAGGCAAACTCGCCACCATGGTCGGAGTGGAGACGCAAGACAGGGAGACTGCGGTGGACACGCGCAGCGACAAGCCACGGGATGAGAACGTCAGGCACGTCGGCCTTCCGCTCCAGGGGGAACACAGTGGTGTAGCGCGTGTAGTCGTCAACAAGCACTAGGAAATAGCACTCTCGACGCGGCCCATGGACGGGGGCGGGGCCCCAGACGTCCATGTGTAGAGTCTGTAGCGGTGCGGCGGTAGGGGGGAATGAGGAGGAGTGAGGGGCACGGCGGAGCCGGCCCTCGACACAGGGCATGCATGGTGGGGCTGGGGAGGAGGGGAACTCGGGGAACGACCCTGGGAGACCTAGGACAAGACCGTGCTGTGACATGTGACGCAAACGCGGGAGTGCAGGGTGACCTAGACGGTGGTGCCACAGGAGTGTCGGGTGAGTGAACGACTGACAGGAGCAGGCCGCAGCAACCTGGGTAGACGCAGCCACCTGAGAAGACGTCCCTACCAGGGGGGTCGCCGTGTCTAGTGTGAACAGGCCGGACACCGGGTCCGGGGGAACGTGGTGAGGGGGGCACCAGTGGCGGCCTCGGTACAGACAGCGTACCGCTCGTGACCAGGGAACGTAGTGGTGACGCCAAGGTCCTGGAGGCAGCCGATACCAACTAGGTTCCTGGAGAATGAGGGGATGTGCAGGCCTGTAAGTGAGCCAGAAGGAACCACCGGACAGGGAAGGGTGGTGGAATTGTGAGCGACTACCGGGCCGGAGGAGGGGTCGGCAAGGGAAACTTCAGCAGGAGTAGCAAGAGGCGTCAGCGTAGTGGAGTCACGGAAGAAACACCAAGAAGCGCCAGAGTCGAGGGTGAAGGAGAGCGCAGCCATGGCGTCTAAAGACAGAGCAGCGACAGTAGAATCTAGGCTAAACAAAGCAGGGGATCCTACACCTGATGTAGCAGGGGAGGCAAGACTAGACATGCCCACTATAGGCAACAAGGGGTAGTAAGAAGCAGTCACACTAGAGTCATCAGCATACATCACATGCAGGGCAGCAACAATTTCATTCATGTCCATATCAAAGATCTGAACGCTACGGCGAAGCAAGCTATGCCAGTCGGGGAGGTCGGGCGAAGGGCCGAAGCGCTGACAAAAAAGGTCGTCCAGGCGACGGAAACAGCGGACGGAGGTGTGACCGATCTTACCGCAAACAAAACCACAGTGAGGACCGGTCTGGAGCTGGTACTGACAGCGCGCGTCACCTGACCCGCTACCCGGTGTTGTGTGATGTCATCATATGCTATCCCATCCCATGTTTTCAACTTGCATGTGTGGTTTGAACATGTGCAAGAATTTGTGTGTGGTGTGTTCTGGAGTTTGGGAATGTGTTTTCTGTTATTTTTTTGAGCAGGTATTTTGTGATAGATCTTGAGAAGATCTTTCCGACGCAACGAGAATCCCTTCAATCGGAGCAAGAACGCGAAAGCTATGAAGATTCAAAGTTCATGAGCTTGCGTTACAATTGCGGCGGTTACAAAGTGAAGTTGTGGGGTGACTCTATATGGAGTTGGGACCTTTGGGGTTGGGGAAATTTGTCACTCTACTGTAACAGCTGCAAATCGGTTGGGAACAACCAAGCTAGGTTGGCAAGGGTGGCCAACTTGGATGGATTGGTTGGGAAGGGACAAATGTCAAAGTTGGGGTTCCTATAGGGGGGGAATCTTTGTGCTTATGGGGTTTCCTTGGTTGGGGACTCTCTTAGGACATTCCCTCTCATCCCTCTCTTCTATCACAACCTTTCTCTTGCTCCTCTAATTCCTTGTGAGATTCTTGAACTTTGATTGAACTTTTGAGATTGAGTTAAGGTCTCCTCCTATTGCTTACCCCCCAGTGCGTCGAAAGATATAGCGTCACGAATACTCCATCAATCGACGTGATTCAAATTGAGAACGGTAGCTAAGATTACAAGCTACAATATTTCCGAGTTTCGCGACATTCCAACGGCTAGTGTTTTGTCGACGTCGTTTCTTGTGAAGACGACTTTTCTGTCCAGAATTTCGGATTTATATTTTGAGTAATTCTAGCTCCTAAGTTCACCTAGACTCCGTCCTTAATACTAACACCCGGCAGCCCACCACGCGCACGACCACCATGTTCACCGCCACCACCAGCACCAGGCCACCAGGGCAGGAGGCCACTCGCCCGCCTCTTCTGCGGCGGCTGCTACGGCAACTGAGGCTGGTGCGAGGGTTGCTGCTGCGGCTGGTGCGTGTCCGGCTGCGACACCTGCGGCTGCTGAGGCGGCTGCTCGGCTGCACCTGTCAGGGTCCCCTTGTCAGCGCTACCACTAGGCGACCCGACTCCACCACCACCTCCACCTGCACCGCCACCCCCACCGCCGCGCCCAGCCTTGAAGCGGCGGCCCTTCCCGGAACGGATCTGCGCTGCAGCTGCGGACTCAGCCACAGCAGCATAACCGTCGGAGAAGGTGCACTGAGCGGGGGCACAACCCTGAAAGATAGGGACCGACACGGTATCGCTGGTCTGGGCTATAGAGCGCTGGCGGATCTCTATGGCAGTCAGGGTATCGACAAAGTCAGTGAGGGTGAGGTCACCAGGGTGGGTGCTAAGGAAGTGGTCGCAGGCAGTAGCAAGACGATCAGGGAGGCGGGTGGCAAGCAGGTAGAGGGTAGAGTAGAGGGTCGGCTGAAAACCTCTAAGCTAGGTCTCAGTGCAGGCAGCTCGCCAGGTCGCGTCTATCGTGCACAGGTGAGCGGCTAGGTCAGCGATGGTAGGGAGGGACGCAAGGTCAGGGAAGAGCATCGGCAGGATCAGGCGACCTACAGAGGCAGCAGGCGGGGTGGAATAGTGCTTGACGACGGCCTCTAGAAATTCTTGCGCAGTCGTGACTGACCTAAAGCGTGGGCGCTCAGACAGGGAGAGGACATGACTAATCGCAAGCTACGCGACAGCGTCACGTGACAGCCAAACTGGGCGAGCAAGGGCAGCAGCTGTGCCAGACTCACGGTCAGCGGACGAGGGGTCAGCGGGCAGGGGAGCAGGGGGGGTCTGTTATAATCACAATAGGCTCAGATGTGCCTATAATGAGAGATAGAGAGCACAGTCGAATTTCCATTAGACGGCTTCAAATATTGATAACGATCTGCTCTCTGACTCAAACGGTGATCTGTATGTTAGATCTGGAGCGCGTTGCTGTCGCTTATCAGCAGCAAGTTGAATCATGAATTTCCATGAAGATTTGACGACGCTATGGTGGTTTTTCTGGCAGGAGGTATAGCAGCCACTATTGTCTTAGAAGTACAAACTTAGCAAGAAGAATTCGAGAGGGAGATGGTTCCCAGCCTCTACATACCCCAAGAGCCGAGGTCCAGGTTGGTGGTACACCACCACAGAGTCCCCAACCACGAAGAGTCTCGAAACAAACCCTCCAAGGGGCTACACCAAGTAGAATGAAACACTACACGATGTAGCGTTACTATTTTCACTATTTAATATTTATCCGCGTCCCTTGGGCTTGAAACCTTGAGCTCTTGGTCTTGGTTCTGCAAGATAAATTCTTCTTGAGTTGATGGGGGCTTGCTGCACACACCTGCGATGCGATGGACACTTCACACTCGACAAAATAGAAAAAAACACATGCGACACGCAAACGACGACTTGACATGCGAGTTGTAAAAACTCGCTAATGTCTTGACCGACACAAACCACATTGTGATACACCATTCAAACACACACACAAGCACTAGATAGCAATGACATAGACTCACAATTCATTCCATGCCATGCATGCACACACACAAAAAAGGACGACAAGCCAAGTGCAAGCCATTGGGTTGCACCAACAGGGTCAGGGCAGGGGAGCATGCCGTCAAGATGGACCGCCAGGGAGTGGCCGTCCTGCCGCTGAC